AAGGAGACCGTCACGACACCACCCAGGACATCGAAAGGGAATGTACCGCAGTTTTAAATGCGATTCCACAAAAGGAGTAGAGTGACAGTTTTCGAAAACTTTGCAATCGATTTCAGCTAAGTATTAATTCAGAAAGAGACTATTTTGAATAAAAAGTGTGAAATTTTGAAAATAATTCACGTCTTGTATTTTTAATGAACACAGTCTTAACAGAACCTGGACACATTGTGTATGACGATCTCTTTCTGTCAGTGTTGATTTTCACCCACTGTTCCTCTTAGCTGATGTTGTATTCCCATGATTCGTATATAAGCCGACATAACTTCAGAAAATATAGATCTCGATACATCTGATATTGTGGCAGCACTACAGGCTGTAAACAAACGTAAGAAAAACTTTCAGTCTTGTCAACTGAAATCCTTTCAGTGTAGCCACCACAAACAAATTGCGTTCCTCAATTTCTAAGTTTTTCCATTATTTTGTCTAGCCCCTGTATATATTTGCGTTGTTTCTTCCTTGCACTTACGGAGAGCGAGAACCAGGACGACTGATGGACTGTGAATTTCCGTCGCTGTAGTTTACACGTGATTTATCATGAACAATTGTCTGGAAGCATAGAACTTGTTAATCAGAAATTTTCTATGACGGACTGATAAATACTTTGGCGTACCGCCAGAAATCCGGAATGGTTTAGGAGATCAGGATTGATTTCCTAGGCAACGACCAACGTTCCCGCGACAACGATACAATGGTTTCAGTCACTAGGGTTTTGATAAAGAAAGTGTAAGAGCTGGAACACACAGCGACATCGGTCGTACGGAAAAATGTCGTATGATTTTTTGACGTACGACCTCCTTTTCACACCAGAGCGACCAAATACATTTCTTTGCTCTCCGACTGCCGTACGGTAGATGTCGCATTTCGTCACGTATGAAAGCTGAGACTACACTTTATATTCTACTACTTGATGCGACATGAACCGTACGGACGTCGTACGGCCGATGTCGCTGTGTGTGTTCGAGCCCTTAGTCTAGCTGTTGAAAGCTGATGTCTAAGCAACGAATTGTTTGAAGTAGCATTTGCATAGCAGCGGGCGAAACAAACCCTTCTACATGGTGTTACCTATACACGCCGAGTGCAGGATATAACAATGTAGATCCGACGAGAGTAGAAGCCAGTTGTATCCGACTGTAGCACAAGCAAGCTCGCATCCGACAATGGACCAAGACACTTCACCAAGATCAGCGGTGCAAGTAACTGCAGTAGTGAAGAGGAAACGTCTTATGATGTTATAAGTCGAGAATAATTGTATTTGCCAGTGTAAAGGTGACTGTCCAATAAGAATATTCGCTCAAATCCGTAAATTTTCTTGTCGCGTTGTCTAGCAAACTCGTGACAATATCAATAGCTATTCTGAAATGACTTTGTGACTAAAAAATGTTAAATTTACAAAAACATCGTAAATGCATTGCTCTCTAAATGATCGTTATTTATGAGGAATAAATCCCCTAAGATCAATTTTAGAGGGCCCTTTATTATAATACCAGGATGCTCGCTATATACTCCCATGTCATATCAAATAGCACAAAGTTTCTTCTAAGCCTAATGACCTAAGTGATAATGAACGGTGTACAAGGAATAATCGATCTCTGAGCCTAAAAGCGACCAACGTTTTTATGATCATGACTTTCTGAGCTGTGTCAGACACCTAAATCTCCGTCATAGGGAGAACATTTAAGTTAAAGCATTACTCAGTTTTTAATCGAACTCTAAATTACATGTAGGAATATATATGATTGATTATATAGCGCACAGAACGCTCTGCTCTTATGAATATGTCGACTGAACCTGGCTTCACCAATGGATATTCCGTACAGTAGGTGTGTGCTTTGTGTGTGACCTCCAAGTGATTCGAATAACCGCATCGAGTTTTCTTCTCTCTCTCAAATGAAGCCCAACCTCGCTCAGCATCACTACAAAACTATCCTCTTGCCCTTATTGCAGCTGCGATCTACATTCGACAAAGTGTAAGCTAGCCGCCCCTGCTTCAGTGTTCCATGATGCATTCAAGGCTTTCAAATTGACTTGTGCTTCAAACTAAAAATCTACTTTGCTTATAGAGTGGATGGAAAGTTATTGTTCCTGTGTTTCCTTGTCTCGAACTTATATTGCTTTCCTTAACATGAATTGTGATCAATTTTAAAATTTAAAACTAAATACGAACTAATAAAAATTTGTTGCACAATGACATGTGGGAATATGAATACGAGCTTTAAACACAAACTGGGTACGATGAAACCGGTTTAGAGAAAACTGATTTATAAAGAAAATTATGTTCAAGATTCAGAAATATTGGAGATTATTTATAGTCTTGCCGTTGTTTTTGATTTCCTGTAAATTTTCAAACCAGACAAACATCAAGTATAATAAATGTTACTAAAATGTCAGTAACATCGTCTTACATGTTTCGCTCTTATAGCATCTTCTTAAGAGGCTCGCGTGATAAAAGAAGATTGCTAACGTACACATTTTAAATTATATCTGGAAGTCTTAAATATTATAATACATGTTTGTTTTTAGTACACCTGGGAACTATGACCCTTGTTGTAGTTTCTCTACTTTAATGGATGCATCATTATGTTGTTTTGTCCAGTGCTTCATGTACAGCGTTTAGTAGTACTTTGTTGGTTGTTTCTTCTACCTCTCCCTGTTGTTTATCACCGAGTTCTCCACCAGCATATCGCCAGCACAAACAACAGCAAGGGCTGTAACAAAAGTACCAACAAGCACTGCTCAATCCTGAACGAGAAGCACGTGTAAAAGCAACTTAATAACACATCCGTGAAGGCAGGGGAACTACAGTTAATATCGTATCTTCTTCGAGCACTAAGAACAAATGTATCAAGTACAATTTTTGAGACTTTAGATATAATTGTAACTTGCACGTAGGCCACGTGAGTCTCACAGATTATCCTACAGGACTGGAAAATGTAAGGGGATTTTTCTTTGCTCTGCATTCAGATGAAACTCGTTATATAAAGTTTGTGGTTTCTTGTTCTTAAACAATTACTATAAAGTGTACCGGTCGAGATGTCTCGTTATAAGAATTAAATACATTGTTTGATATAAATATTGTTGAGCTGCCACACGAATAAATAACAATTAATTGGGTTATTATTATTATTATTATTATTATTATTATTATNATCTGTATTTCTATATACTCGTGCCAACTTTGTCATTGGCCTCTGTGCTGTTAGGTTTGCATGTAAATAAACACGAATTTAATTGAATTGAATTATATGCATGAAAGTTTTTTTTTTGTTATATAGTCCCATTTTATTTGCAATCTGTACTAATACATTCAGCAAATTGTTATGGAGGCATGAAAGTAAACTGCATAAGAATATTTCATCTTTTAATCCAGCAAGCAGGCCTGCCTTCTAATTCATTCAAGTCAGCTAAAAATTTAATATTTATTGCAGTCTTGAGGAATATGTCGTGATGAGGTGGGTTTGTTCCAATAACTTTCTTACAGTCTCCTTCCAGCTTCAAGACGAAATATTCAACTAGTTCTCCGAAACGTCGGAAAACCGAATGGCAGTATGTCATGATCAGCCAAAAATATAGATAGGTTTACCCTAAAGTCGTGTAAACATTGTTTGTTTTTAATTAACAGTGTTCTGTTGCTTTAATGTAAACATGCTAGGAACTACGTTTACTCACACATTGTATAACAGCTCACCAAAATGTTGTTCGGCTTGGATTCAAATTCAACAAGGTAGAGGACCTTCTGGAAGTATTAAATACGTTTAATTCAACAAGGCATATTTTGAGAAAACATTTTAACGCTTGTGTTTCGGTCTCTGTACCGAATACAGTAAGGAATATCATTTTTTCACGATTTTATATAAGATATTTAACCACCGTTCAGTGTGATGGATAAAATTTATTTTTTTAATTTTTCAACCTTAACATGTTTCGGTCAAAAAGACCATCTTCAGAAGGATATTATCAACATATATGGAAACTACTGTTGCCATGTCATAGATATAAAGGAAAAAGAAAAACACAACGTTATCAATCACACCTGACGGTGTTTATAAACCTCATACACAATTACTTATGTGACGGTCGAGGATGAACCAAGTTAAGTTTCACGATTTTCTTTTCATTTAGAGCAAACTACAAAATCACACATGCCTTAGGGATCTTGCAAATTTGTTAAAACTCCAGTGCGTTGTACACAGTACGCGTGATGCGAGGGTTAGTGGTACTTAGAATGCCCTTTCTGCTAGCTTGACCGCTTCTGTGGTCTAGTGGTCAGACTTCCTGCCTACAGATCCAGAGGTCCTGGTTCGATTCCCGGCGCTATCAGATTTTTCTGAGAAGTAATGGTTCTGGAACGGGGTTCACTCAGCCTCCTGAAGATAATTGAGGATCTATTTCAAGGAAATAGCGGCTCCGGTCTAGAAAACCGAAATTAACGGCCGTGGGGATTCGTTGCGCTGACCACGTGACACACTCTTTCTGCTAAATTTGGCACTAACTTCGCTGACAAGCNAGCATCCTCTGTCTACAAGATAACAAATCAACAAATATTTCGCTTGCGGACTAAAACCACGGAGTTTGTTTCGTTTCTGCTGGCTTGCGATTCATATATTAATTTGAGCACAGATTTTTAAGCATCCTCTGTCTACAAGATAACAAATCAACAAATATTTCGCTTGCGGACTAAAACCACGGAGTTTGTTTCGTTTCTGCTGGCTTGCGATTCATATATTAATTTGAGCACAGATTTTTAAGCATCCTCTGTCTACAAGATAACAAATCAACAAATTTGTTAACGTTTACTGAAACAAACTGGTAAAAATCAACATAGATCTAATAAATCTGTTTCCTCGTTTTCTTAGGCGTTCCCTTCATCTTATTGCATTCAATCCTTCGATGCATCGCACAGATAGCCTTCTGTCTAATGTTCCTCTTCCTGTATTTTTCAGTACCGACTGCAACGATCTTGGGAGGCCCAGACTTGCACGTGGACAAAGGCAGCACCATAAACCTTACATGCACCATCAAGTACAGCCCAGAGCCGCCTGCTTATATCTTCTGGTACCACCACGACGAGGTGCGTATGACACGTTCCTGGGGTTGAGTGACACTAAGGCCCTTGGTACTATGTTCTCACACAGACCTCCTCTACCATCCGCGGTTGGTAGATGGGAATGATAATTCGCGGAGAAATGCCGAATGACACGCTCCCGTGCCAATTTGTTTGCCACAAATCCCACACGGATTACCTTGGCATTGGACCAGGGCTGCCGCGGGTGAAAGCCTACGACTAACCGCCTGAGTTATATCACAAACTAACCACTAGTTAGTCTCCGGTTGACGGTTTTCTTTTTAAGTCAGTCTCAAATGTTGGCTGCGAAGAAAGTCAGGACATAAACCCAAGAAAATGACGGCTGCATGCTGTCAGAGAGAGACAAAGCTATAAAACAAAACGAACTCCGTGGCCTGTAGTCCACAAGTGAACTATACTGACCGAGCGACCGCCGCTTGTCGGCGAAGTTAGTGCCAACTTTAGCGGATAACTGTGTCACGTGGTCAGCGCAACGGTTCCCCACGGTTATGTCTGCAATCTGTAATTTATAAGAACCCTAGGTTATTGTTGTTTTCTAATATTTTATAAATTAGAAATTGCAGACATAACTGAAAAGTAGGCTGCGAACGTGAGGGGCAAGCTGCCAAAACAAAACACCCTGGACAGACATACATTTATGAACAATGGACGTCACCCCTTGTGAGGTGAAATAAAATGCGCCAAAATAACGTGCGTTTAATAGAAATTTTAAATTTTAATGGATTTTATGTTCTTTTGCCTTGAAAAGGGAACTACAGCATGTGATTTTAACACGGTCTAACACAGTGTAGCAGTTTTAACATATTTTTAAAAACTATTTGTAACATATCAAGACACCTGAAGATGGCCGTTTTGGACCGAAACATGTTGTGTCAAAGTGTAAAATGTTAAACTGAAATTAAGATTAAGTGGTGAACAAACAAGTGTTGCAATATTGACGGACGATAAATACGCGAACCTTAAGGTAACATTATATTTTGATATTTCTTTCGCAACTGTCATGAGCGAACCTGCTGTATACACACTGCCTACTTTCCACGTACCGATGTTTCTCCAAACAATCCGTCCAAGTCCGAGGTCCGTTATGACATTTCATATCAAGCTTATTTTTTACGGTGACGAGTTTTTACACCAACACCCAACGCCCACGCTGGATGACCACCCCTTGTCGGCTGTCCGGGACTGCTTATTCAGTACATTCGCAGGTACCTTCCATGTCTGAAGGGCGTCTCCTCCATCCGCAACCTGAGGACGCGCCATGCCGTGGTGACAGGGACCCACCTGACATGTGATTGTAGATATGCTTGCAAATATTATTTTGCGTTATTTTCTCAAAGTATATGAAAATATTTTCATTCATATCATTGAACCTCTCTCAGGAAAGCTTTACGTAATATTCGTCACTATACTATCAACAGGACCACCTCAGAACTTAACTACAACCAAATTAATTTCGCATAAAAATTAATTGACGTAGCTAAATTCGATCTTGACACAGGAAAATGATTCATAATTCGAGGTAAGTCTTTCGTGACGTGTATAAGTGGCTCTTATGTTTGTAATAATTTCTGACATGGTCCTTCACGGCCCACTGCCTCTCTCCTCGCGTAGGAATATGGCGGCGAAGCCCTATTTTCTTTCTCACATTTCCAGCGATTGCCAAGAAACCATTCACCCAGTCCCTACAGCAACATTCATTTTTGGAATAGCGAACAGGGCCCAGAGGGAGAGAATAAACACTCAGGAGCTTTGTTTTCCCATTTTCTTTTGTTTCTGCTGACCCCGCAATCCGGGCTGGTCAGACTGCTTGCGTGGCACATTTCAGAACATTTGAACACAAAAACAATTTGACAACTGCCCCTTACGATTAAGTGTGTGCCAGTAATTTACTTGCAATGCAGCTGTTCCCTTGGGAACCGCTCCGCAGACCTTCCGGCATTGTACTGCTACTGGGACTACAGTACACTAAACTGCGAATACTTGTAAACTAAAATTCATGCGACATTAGTACAACTCATCTTTCTCCATAGAAAGGGCCTTCCTTAAAATATTTGAATTCGTTCAGCTGGTGAGTAAATCCCATGCTTTTTAAGTCCAAAAAAATCACTAAACATCACTAATTCAAAATAGCTTGTCACTAGACTTTATTCTTGGACAGTTCATTGCAGAACAGCCCTTTACACAAATTATCTTTAACCAGATACGTAATATTCCCCTATTTCTGCCTAGGCTTCGAAGTGGTGACTTCCTCTTGGAATTTTCGGAACACAACTTCTGTATGAATTTCTCAGTTCTTCCATCAGCTCTCCTTGTTCCATCAACCTAATTCCTCAAAACTTATTTAAAGTGGCCAAGTAAAAATTCCTCGTTACGTAACTTTATCATATACATTACTGTTTTCCTGTCGCTCCTAAGTCATACCTCACGTTCTCAGCACTTTGTCGTCAAATTCACTAATTTATGTTCTCTCATTTTATGTATATTATAAACACTATTTTTAAAAAATTGTATATTTATTGAACCTGATATCTAAAATGAATACAAATTTGAAATAATATGGACTTATTCACCCAAAATGTATACGATTTCAGCCCACATCTACCCTGAAATATGTGAAGTTACGTTTAAGTTATTTTTTCCGCCGAAATGTAATTATGGGATACATATTTATCGACGCAGAAAGAGGCTATTCTTTTGAGAGCACAGTGGATAAAATTTGACTCCAAGCAATTGAAATTCGATTCCTAGGAATTATTATAAAATATTCTCATGAAAAACCACAGAAGAACATAAATGATGACAGTAGAGAACAATTAAACGTTTCTGATATAAATACGAGTATTTAAAAATATGACCTCAGAATAAATGTACAGAGATAGCAGCGGTACCTACAACAATTCATTAGTTATGCATCCACTGATCAGAGAGATAATGTACGTAGATACAAAGAAGGCGATATAAATTTAACTGAATTAAATGAGGAAAACATACTTTGCATGACGTTTAGCTTTTACTAATTAAGTTTTCAAAATACCGGCTCACACTCGCTCTCCCAAGGATTGAAACCGTACATATTCCGAGACTAAAATACAAAGGTTATGCGACTCTAATATTAAAAATAATTGGAAGTAAGTGTATTTCATTGTGAGCAGTAATCACCAGAAAGTGAAGCAGAGAAAAGTGCTGATATATGAGGTATAGCTCAGACAAAGGACAGCGTGAAATGTAGTTATCGTGTAACAGGAAAAAAGACTCGCAGTTCGTTACCTGGATTCTGCAAAACGGCCAGTCTTGCATAAGAACTATCTGAATGAGAAATGCGTTTCAAAATCATATCACTCCTTGATGAAGATAAAATTCAGAGTACGAGATTTGCTAGCAAGTAGAGTAGTTGTTCGCAGCGGCTGGCTCGAAAGACTTGACGGCTTTCAAGGATGTAGTGAGACAATCGGGAAAACAGCTACCCGGGAACGGTGGATACTGGCAAATTTATGTGCCTGGGAGTTAACTTGACGGCCCCATACTTAACTTGAAGTTTACTTATGGACCTCCGATCTGAACCAAACTTTCAGGGCTTGCTCTTTCCAGCCAGCTTCCATTTTAAGAGCTTCGTATCCAAAGACACTCCTGGGAGTCACAGGGGCTTTTCTTCAGTACAACAAAAGTGGGAAACCGCACACCAGTTTGGAGCTGTCTTTACACATACCGCGTTTTACATTTTTTATATGATTTTTAAAATATTTGCCATCAAAGTTAATTTTATAGATACAGCAAATTCAGTGTTGAAAGCTAATCAAACTGCAGGCATACTGCATGAAGTTAAAAATTGCACATTTCTTGTCCGATAGTGCCAATTTTGAGGATTATATTTTTCGCGTTAAAAACTGAGATCACCATCTGTGCGTATAAAATGTACGTCCGCGTGATGATTAAGTACTGCTAGAATCTCGACATGTTATAAGTGACTATCTTCAGGGGAGATACCGGATATTAAAAATATTGCATTTCACATACACGAATGAAAGATTTAAAATTCAAGAAATGTCACCGATTTGTCGTCTTACGTGAAACTCGTCCGTAACTTATTTCAAAGTTTCTTGCGTCACACAATGCGTCTTTTTAAAACCTATTTAAAAGTTCCTGTACATTGCACTACAAATTTCGACTGACATTGGTCATCATCAGGTGTTTCAAAATTGTTGGTGACTGTCTCATTCGTGATCTAGACACAGCATAGCAGGAAGAGTCACTCAGCACCTCGAAATGCACGAACGCGTAGAACCACAAAACGGAATCCTATATACGAAGTAGAGGTGCTACTTACTGGGACTCAATGTTCCGTGGAAACAGAGAAGAGAAGAGGAGACGGAGACTGAGACGGAGACTGAGACTGAGACTGAGACTGAGGCTGAGGCTGAGGCTGAGGCTGGTACTGGGACTGGGACCGAGACCGAGACCGAGACCATCTCTTGAAACTTTTATGTGCCAATTATACAACACAAAATGGGCAGAGACTAGCATAATCCTGATGCCAGAAAGATGACTCCTGAAAGCCAGAGTGGATGTTCGTTGCTAGGCAACGACTTGGTAAAGAGGTTCCCGCGGTAACGAATAAGCAAGCAACAATCGGGGTAGTGTTGGGCTATTAAAATGTAAACTTTTTTTTTCTGTTGGGTCCGCCCCGAGGCTATATAACGAGGATCCAAGAATAGAACTGAGAGAGTCTCTTGAGACGGCAGTCAAAGATGGTAGAAAAAGAGATGACAACGAGTTAGTTGAGATTTGGAAGTCAGCCTATGAAGAGATGGCTTTACGTGTGTTAATTACTCTATTGAAATCCGTTGCCAGAATACGACTAGTGAAGACTGAGAGCTGTTGTGTATAACGGTGAACTGTGAAGTGTGCATCAGCGATAGCGCTGCAATTACCTGTAGTTCTGAGTAGCGTGTATAAATGGTCAATAAACCCATTCACCAATCTATACC